AAGTGTGGCCTTAAAATTTTCACTAAAATATTATATTCCCTCCAAACATTTTTAACTCTACCTCCCATTTCTATTTGAAAAAATTATTAATAAAACATTAGAACTCTTTTCCCCAAATTGAAGAACACGGTCTCCATATGTAGTTCCTTGTCGGACTACAGGGCATCAACCTGAGCGATTTAGGAGATTCCAAGCTCCTCCTCAGAAGCTGCCTCATTGCAGCGATCAAGTGAATGGTCGGAACTGAGCGTCTGTGCCGCTAGTTTTCCTCCCTCCGCAGTTAAGAGGTTGTTCCATCATATTCTTGTTGAATAATTCCCAGATTGAGTTGTTCCTTCATATTCTCATAGAAACTTCATCACATTGAAATGATTTTGTTTAAATAGGGTTTATTAGTTACTAACTCCTCTTGTTGATGCAGTAGTGAAGGATGTGTCTTTCTGATGTAGCTATCAAGTATACTTCATCAAGTAAAAGTGCACAAAGAGAAAGCTTTATCCCCTTCGAGATCACATCTTGAGAAAGGTAACACCATTATCATTTGCTCTGTTCATCCTCTGCATCTTATATCCAATGAAATACTAGTTCTGTTAAATCTAGATAGGACGTTGAGAATAACCTTATCTATGAAAATCTACTTATATTTGAACCATTCTACATAAAGTACCTTGTAACTGTGATACTTGAGTGATTTCCTTTAGTGAATTCTATGTCCCAAAAGTTTGTGGAACTGTAATACTTGATCTTTCCTTGAACAATTATCATGTTATTATTTGTAATACCCATGAACTGTGATACTAAATGATAGATTTATGTTCTGATGAAAATGTTTTTACCATTATAAAAAAATACAAGTACATAACAACAGTACTATCATGGATCATGGACCGTCGTGGTCATGATGGGCCGTTGTGGTCATCCGTCGTGGTCATGACGGGAAGTCATGGTCATCTGTCGTGGTCATGACGGGCCGTCGTGGACTCTGTCGTCCCATACTTGCAAGTTTCTTCTGCTACTTTTCTGATCTCCATGACGAACATGCAGGGCGGACCATCATGGCTACGACGGTCCATCACGCTTTCCGTTACAGCTGAACAAGTTTCTTCTGCTACTTCTCTGATCTTCATGACGAACATTCAGGACGGACCGTCATGGCTATGACGGTCCGTCACGCTTTCCGTTACAGCTGAAATTTTAAATTGATTAATTGTTAAATTTCTTAATTTTGTGGTTCTTTCTTGATGGAAGAGATTTGTTTACTAGAGGAATTGATATTCAAGCAGTTAACGTTGTTTGCGTTAGTTTGCATGCATCATGGTTATTGTATAACACCAAATATTTTGTATTGTTTCTTATGAAGTTTGAACCCTAAAGCAATATCTTATTTGTGTAGGGAAATGGAGGTGATCAAATTTGAAGTGGATGATGAAGAGTTTTTGAACTATTGTAAAAGTTTAAAGACATATTTGATTTATTGTGTACATATTTAGAATATTGATGTATAAGTGTGGGCATGTACAAAACACATAATATCTTTTGGTTGTACATGAAATATTTCTCGAAGTTTATTTGAAATATATAGCTTCAATTTAATGATTAATTAGTTCATTTTGTGTTTTAGGTCACTTGTATTTATATAAATATATTATATATATTTGTGCTACATGTAGGCTTATAAATGTTGAAGTTACACTTTGTAAGTGTTGCTCTAGGTAGATAAAAAGTTACACTTTGAAAGTGTTGCATAGATGACCAATAAAAGGCAACACTTTTTAAGTGTGACCAATAAATCTGAAAAGGCAACACTTTTAAGTGTAGCCAAAGATGGTAACATTTAAAAAGTGTTGCCTAATGTCAAAAATTAAGCTTCTTTTCGGCAGCCCCAAAAAAGTGTTGCTGAATGTCCAAAAGTGTAGCCTTTTATCAAAGGCCACACTTTTTGTCAGTCTAGGCTACACTTACGTGGTGTTGCTGTAGGCCGAAAATGGATCATCTACCTTGGAGAGAATACTTATTCTTGAGGTCTCCTTATTCAAATTGCATTAGTATTTACACATCCTAAGGAAACCATCCTTCTTTCTCACAAATAAGACCAGAGCACCCCAAGGTGAGACACTTTGTCAAATAAAACCTTTATCTAACAGATTCTTTTAGTTGTTGTTTCAACTTTTTTAACTCTGCTGGTGCCATTTAATATGGCGAAATAGATATTGGATGAGTATCTTGAATATCTATGCCAAAGTCTATCTCTCTCAGGAGGGACTCCAAGGAGATCATTAGGAAAAACTTTTAAAACTCATTTATTGTAGGGATTGAATGAATGGAAGGTACCTCAAGACTCAAGTCATTTACTCATACTAAGTGATAGATACACCTCTTTGAAACTAACTTCCTCGCCTTAAGGTATGAAATAAAATGACCCTTGTATACTGATGAACTACTACTTCACTCTATGACTACCTCATTAGGAATTTGAAACTTGACAACTCGAGTTCTATAATCTATTGACGCATATCAAGCATGGAGACAGTCCATACCTAGAATGACATAAAAATCTACCATGTCTAACTCTACTAGGTCAATCATTGTGTTCTTGTGATTGATAGAGATAGGCAATCACGATAGACTCTTTCCGCTAGAATAGACTCTCCAACAGGAGTAGAAACAAAGAAGAGTTCACAAAGTTTCTCTAGAATAATCTCAAGCTGATTTGCAACATAAAGAGTTACAAAACATAAACTTGATTTTGGGTCTAACAAAGCATATACATAAAAATTAATGATTTTGGTCCTATCCGTGACAACATCTAGGGGATTCTCTTGCTCTTGGCGGCTAATGATTGAATAAATATAGTTTGACCCTCCGCTAGTACAAAAAGTGGCTCCTCTAGGTGCAGCGTTTTTCTGGTGGAGGAACTGATGAAGACTGAGCGTCATTACCAGGATTTCCACTAACTTGCATGCACTTAGGGAACTCCTCCATGAAGTGACCCTCTTGACCACAACTATAGAAACCTAACAGCCATCATGAAATTTATGTGGGTGGTTCCTACCACACCAACCACATGCAGTAGCCCAACTATCTCTTTGTGCATCACTACATTGGGATTGTGTTTGCCTAGCCTTAAATATTTAGCGAATTCTGTCCCTCATACTTAACTTTGTTTTTGGGTGCAGGTGCACTAGCATATGATGGTGCATGCCCTTTCTGTTTCAAAGTAAGGAACTCCCGTACCTTTAATTCCTTCAGTTCTCAGAAAAAAACCTCCACAAGAAAGCCTCTTCGAAATATGCCCAGCTTGGATGTGGTGCATCCTCATATCCTCCCTCCTTCCACTTGTCAAACCAAGTCCTAGCCACATTCTTCAGTTGATACGCAGCTAGCTCAACCCTTTCCGTATCAACCATAGGAATCACATTAATATTCTTCAAATCTTCCACACTATATTATGGATCCTTAGTAGTTCTCAAATCGTGAAACTGGGAGGATTCATTCTCGGGAACTCACAAATCCTGGAGATGTAAGCCTCTTCCCGTCGAACTCCTCTCTGTTGACAAACTTGGTTAGTAACCTCTTGGCTTGATATCTGGATAGCCTCACGGAACTCAACATTGGTGACCTCTCCTTGAGGTTGCACATTTGGTCCATTGAGTACCTCCGACTCCTCTACATTTCTTTTGGATGGACGACCTTTGGTTGTTCTTCGTGGAGGCATGATGATCCTAAACACGTGCAAGCACGAATTAGAGAAAGACTTTTTAGAGATAAAATGTAACACATGAAAAAGGAACATAAAGGAAGTGATTTATTACTAAATGTCGCAGCCTTTTAATCATGAATTTGGCTCTCTTCACACCAATGACTAAGACTCTATAGACACAGCTTCATAAACTCCCTAGGACTCTTGAACCTTTTGCTCTGATATCTTGTTTTTCATGCCCCGAGCCTACACCCTGGACGTGGCTGACATCCAATGACCATTGATGGCCTTGAGCGAACCCTTGTTCTGGCATACTTAACTCACAAGAATACCTAACCCAATATTAAAACAAAAAAATCTTCACAATTAACTTAATTCAACCTCTTGGACAAAATGGAACTTCAGTCTCAAATATAATATCTGAAATAGAAGAGACTTAATTGGAATACTAACTATTCGTCTATGAAGCCTAAAAAATAATACTATGATGAATATTGGGACAGACCCCACAATATTCTGAAGTTGAAGGATTGGAAAGCATAAAAAGGATCCTCCGAAATGCTAGAAGGCTCACCACTAACTCTCAGTGCTCAAACTGGATCAATGGTGCGCTAGATGTTGGTCTAGGTAACTTGCGTCTTCATCATAAGACGATATTGGCAAACATTCATCAATATATTGTATGTACGAGTATGCGAGTTGGAATGCTAACCTAACTTACGCTTGAAAGGAGTGAGGAGAAACACTTACCTTAGCTCTGCTCAACTCGTGGGGAGTCAACTCAATATATATAAGGAATAAACAAAAGGGTTATAAATAAAAATAAAACTTTAAAGCAATTGAAAAATATCTTAGTTCATTAAAATATAACAATAACAAACTTAACTTTACTTATTTAAAGTAGTATAAATTCTGTGGGAGATTCTCAAACCGAAAACCATCACTGTGAGCCTAAGTAATGATACAAAGTTTTAGCTCACGCTGCCAAGGACCATCCTATACCTTGCCATCAGTACTGGTGCTTACTTAACTTAGTAGACCCACTAGCTTAACTTACGTGATCATTCAAAAAGTATGACCCATTAACACCCATGATGGATACATTTTTTACATGGGGACTTCAGTTAATATGAACTCTTATCCCTATATCGATGCTCAATACTACTCCCACAATATACTTTAGCTCATGCTTTTAAAATAATTTGCTTTCTTTGGGTTAAGATAATTGCTCAACACTTAGCTTTAAAAGCTCTCATGGAATCAATGTTCCCCTTTCTTGTTCAAAAATGTTTTGGGAAATCTTAGTTTCCGCTTAACTTACATGAAAAAAACATTTATAAACTTTCTAAGGAACACTTAGTTCCCTTATATCTTATGCGAAATGGACACAACTCTTTACTCTTTCCTTGACTTGATACTTTTGATCTTAATCAACTGTTTAGGGAATTTATAGTTCCCTTATACTTCTTTTTCAACTTTTACTCTTTATTTAACTCCAAGGTTTAGCCTTAAAATGAAGTTAAAACATTAAATAAGGCTCTTAGATACTTTACTTTAACTTACTTCATAGCTTTAGACTTGACTTCTTAACTTCCTTTAATTTAATCCTAACTTTACTTAAATTGAATTATGGATTAAAGTTTCGTGATTCATTTTTATGGATGATTTCATGATGTTTAGATGTAACTTAGATCATTAGAATCAATCAAGAATTGTAGGTACATCACGTAGGAATTGGTACGAAGAGATAGTGGCAAAAATAGTGTCTCCAGACAACCCTGACGCTCAGAGGGGCGCGGGAGAGAAAGATTGATAGAGAGAGGTTGTCCTGAGAGGCTCTGGATTGCGCGACACACAAGACCTTGTGAGACAGAGCCTGCCCTGAAGGGCATTGGCAGGCGTGGCACACCAGGGTTTGTCAGTCAGGGTCTTCATCTTTTCTTCTCTGTTTTTAAACGCTAAACCTTCTAAACTCCCATGGATCATTACTCAATAACTTAGGATAAATAATAACCTCAAGACCCATAAAGCAACCTGGAAACACGAATCCAATCTACTAAATCATACTACAAATCATCCAACAAGTATTTAACCATTGTTCATTAAGTATTTCAATGTTCATATCATTAAATCCATTTAAACTTCTCTGAATTAAACAAATTGATGTGTGGGTGAACTAACCCAACACAAAAAGATCTCTTATATGTCAATGGGAACACCTCCGACGAATTCCACCTGCGAAACCTTAGTGTTCTTGATGGATTCTAGATTTTCTCTCCTTATCTCCTTCTCTTCTCTTTTCTGCCAAGGCCTAAGCGTGATTTGGTTTTCTAAAACGAAATTAAGTCTAATTTTTTTTTAAAAAAATGGAAATAATTGGTTGAAATGTCAAGTTTTCCTTTACTAAAATCCGGATTGGGACCTTCCTCAACCGAACATCCCAACTTCTAATAGGATTATCTCCCTCATACGATATTGCAACTGCGCAAACTTTGAGTTGTTAGAAAGACCTCTCCAAGGGCTTTCCAACCATATAAAGAACTGTCTCTAAATCATAATGAGATAGAAGTTATGGTCATTTTAAAATGACCAAAACTCACTTTCTTAACTTAGGAAATTGTCCAAAATTTCCTATTCTTCCAATATTGATTATTTTTGGTTTCTAATCTTATTCTTGGATATTAGTAGTTACAAGGTGTTACAGTTTTATGGTCATTGGAGAAAGTAGAATTTTTTAGAGGTGTTTTTTGTATGGTTTTAGTATATTTCTTGATTTTTCGGCATTTAAGGGCATTTATATAATAATAGCCATTTCCGGGCAATAACGAAAAAGATGTAAAGTTTTGATCTGTTATTCGTCACGATATTCTATGGTAATTGGTGCAAGGAGAAATTGTTTTGAGGGTATTTTTAGTATTTATGTGTGGTTCTTGGTTTTCAGCCATTTTTGGGTAGGTACGAAAAGAAGTGAACTTTTGATCTCTTATTCTTTATGATATTTTAAGGTCATCGGTTTAACTCAAAATATTGTTGAAGTTTTTTTATATTGTTTATGTGTGCTTTTAATTTTTTTCATCTATTTTGGGGCATTTAACGTAATATTCGGTCATTTTCATATAGTTACGAATCGAAGTAATATTTTGTTCTTTTATTCATAACGATATTCTAATGTCATTTCTTCAAGTTGAAATGTTTAAGGTTTTTTGTACTGTTTATGTGTATTTCTTATTTTTTGGCCATTTTAGAGGATTTACGTAATATTCATCTATTTACAAGCTATTATAAAAAGTCGAATGTTTTGTTGTTTTATTCCTCATTATATTCTAAGATCATTGGTGTAAGTCAAATAAAAATTTGAGTTGTTTTTGTACTTTTTATGTGTGTTTCTTTACTTTTCAACCATTTTAGGACATTTACAGGATATTCGACTAGTTTCAGGCGATTACGAAAAGAATTAAGTTTGTTTTATTATTCATCACAATATTCTAAGGTCATTGGTGGATGTCTAAAAAATTCTAAGACATTTTTTATATTGTGGATGTCTGTTTCTTGATTTTTTGATCATTTTGGAGTTTTTACGTAATAGTCGGGCAGTTTTTGGTAGTTACGAAATGAAGTAAGTTATTGTTGTTTTATTTGTTAGGATATTCTAAGGTCATTTGTGCAAGTATAAAAAATTACCGCATTTTTGGATCTTGTATGTGTATTTCTACATTTTTCAGTCATGTAGGGGAATTTACGTAATATCCAGTCATTTTTCAGGCAGTTACGAAAAAGAATAAAATTTTTAATCTATTATTCGTCACAATATTCTAAGCTCATTGGTGCAATTCAAAACGTTTTTGAGGAGCTTTTTGTATTGATTATGTTTGTTTCTTTATGTTTTGGCATTTTATGGCATTTACGTGATATTTGATCATTTCAGGAAATTACGAAAAGAAGTGAAGTTTCTTTCTGTTATTCGTCACGATATTCTAAGCTCATAGAGCAAGTCAAAAAAATTGAGGAATTTTTTCTATTGTTTATGCTTGTTTCTTGGTTTTTCAGTCATTTTGCTCATTTAGGGAATATTTGGGCTGTTACGAAAGAAGCAAAATTTTGTTCTGTTATTTGTCACGATATTTTAATGTCATTGGTGCAAGTCAAAAAAAATTGAGGTGTTTTTGTACCTTTTATGTGTGTTTATTTATTATTCGTTCATATTGGGCATTTATATATTATTCGACATTTTTAAGGTTGTTTCAAAAAGATGTAAAGTTCTTTTGTGTTATTCGTCATGATATTCTACGTTTCTAGATGTACGTCAAAAAAATTTTGAGATGGTTTTTTTATTGTTAATGTGTGTTTCTTGATTTTCCGGCCATTTTGGGGGCATTTATGAAATATTTGGCCATTTTTGGGATGATACGAAAAGAAGGAAAATTTTATTTAATTATTCTCCACAATATTCTAAAGTCATCAGTGAAAGTAAAGAAAAAATTGAGACATTTTTGTACAATTTATATGTGTTTCTTTATTCTTAGGTATTTTAGGGCATTTATGAAATATTCAGCCATTTTTGGGCAATTACGAATAGAAGTGAAGTTTTGTTCTATTATTCGTAATTATATTTTAAGGTCATTGGTTGAAGTCAAAATTTATTAAGAAATTTTTTGTTGTTTATGTTTTGTTTCTCGACTCCTTAGCCATTTCAGGTTATTTATGTAATATTTGGTCATTTTTGGGTAGTTTTGAAAATAATGTATGTTTTGTTCTATTATTCGTCTCGATATTCTAAGCTCATTGGTGCTAATAAAAAAATTTCGACATATTTTTTCGTACTGGTTATGTGTGTTTCTTGATTTTTCGGCTATTTGGGCATCTAAGTATATTCAACAATTTTAGGGCAGTTAAAAAAAGAAGTAACACGTTGTTCTATTATTCGTGACGATATTCTTTTGTCATTAGTGCTAGTCGAATTTTTTCAGATGTACTTTTTTATTGTTTTATGTGTTTTTTTATTCTTTGGTCATTTTGGGGTATTTACGTAATATTCGACCATTTTGGGCAATAAAGATATGGAGTGAAGTTTTATTCTGATATTTGTCACAATATTCTAAGGTCACCGGTGCAAGTCAAAAAAAGTTTAAGGTTTTTTTATACTATTTAGATGTGTCTTGATTTTTTCTAGAATTTTTACGCATTTACGTAATATTTGGTCATTTTCAGGCTGTTATGAATAGCAGTAAAGTTTTGGTATGTTATTTGTAATGATATTCGAAAGTTATTGGTGTAAGTAAAAAAAATTAAGGGGTCTTTTATATTGTTTATGTGTGTTTTTTTTTATTTTTCGGCCATTTTGGTGCGTATACATAACATTTGGTCATTTTCGGGAAGTTACAAAAAGTATTAAAGTTTTGTTTTGTTATTCGTCGTGGAATTTTTACTTTATTGGTTCAAGTTAAAAAAAATTGCGGCGTTTTTGTATTTTTTGTGTTTTTCTAAATTTTTCGATCATTTGGGGGCATTTACTCATTAATTGGCCATTGTCCAGGAGTTACGAAAAGAAGTTCGTTTTTGTTCTGTTACTCGTCACAATATTTTAAGTTCATTGATGTAAGTCAAAAAAATTTTGAGGCATTTTTTTTAATAGTTTGTGTGTTTTTTAATTTTCAGCCATTTTGAGGAATTTAGGTAATATTAGTCAATTTTCAGGCAGTTAAGGAAAAATGTAAAGTTCTATTCTAGTGTTTTTCATGATATTTTAAGGTCATTGGTGCAAGTAAAAAAAAATTGAGGCATATTTTTTCTTGCTTACGTCTGTTTCTTGATTTTTTGTTTATTTTTAGGCATTTATGTAACATTACACATTTTCGCGTAGTTACTAAAATAAGTGAAGTTGTATTCTATTACTCGTCATGATATTCTAAGATCATTGATGAAACTCAAATTTTTTTTGAGGCTTTTGTTATACTGTTTATGTGTATTTCTTTATTTTTTGTCATTTGGGCCATATACATAATATTCGACCATTTTCGGACAGTTTCAAAAAGAAGTAAAGTTTTGCTCTGTTGTTTGTCACGATATTCTAAGGTTATTGGTGCAAGTCAAAAACTTTTGAGGAATTTACGTACTATTCATATGTTTTACTTGATTTTTTTGCCATTTAGGGGTATTTACGTAATATTCAGCCATTTTCGGGTAGTAATGAAAAAGAAGTAAACTTCTCTTTAGTTATTCATTATGATATTCTAAAGTCATTCATGCAAGACATAATTTATTTGACGCATTTTTTAAGCTTTATGTTTGTCTTTTGATTTTTTGGCCATTTTAGGGTATTTACGTAATATTCGGCCATTTTTTGGGCAGTTATAAAAAGAATTATAGTTTTTTTTATTATTTGTCACAATATTCTAAGGTTATTTGTGCAGTCAAAATTTTTTTTGAGGTGGCTTTTTGTACTTTTATGTGTGTTTCTTGATTTTTTCGTCCATATTGGGCATTTACATAATATGCCATTTTAATGCAATTACGAAATAATGTAAGTTTTTTTTGTTATTGGTAGCGATAATTAGGGTACTGGGTGCAAGTTGAAATTTTTTGAGATTTTTTTAAATTATTTGTGTGTGTTTCTTGATTTTTCGGTCTTTTTAGGGCATGTACAAAATATTCGATCGTTTTTGAGATGTTACTGAAAGAAGTAAAATTTTATGCTGTTATTTGTAACGATATTGTTAGGTCATCGGTTGAAGTGAGAAAAAAATTGAGGAGCTTTTTGTACAATTTATGTGTGTTTCTTTATTTTTTGCTATTTTAAGATATTTACGTAATGTTTAGCCATTTTCGAGCAGTTACAAAAAGAAAGTGACTTAGAATATCTGTTTTTCCTCATGATATTCTAAGGTTAATGGTGAAACTCAAAAATTTTGAGGAGTTTTGTGTATTCTTTATGTGTGTTTCTTGACTCTTAGCCTCTTTAGAACATTTACGCAATATTCAGTCATTTTTCGAGTTGTTTAGAAAAGAAGGTACGTTTTGTTCTTTTATCGTCACAATATTCTAAGGTAATTGGTGCTAGTAAAAGAAAATTGATGCGATTTTTAATTGTTATGTGTGTTTCTTGATTTTTCGAGTACTTAGGGGCGTTTATGTAATATTCGGCCATTTTTTGGGCAGTTATGAAAATAAGTAAAGTTTTGTTTTGTCATTCGTGACGATATTCTAAGGGCATTAGTTGGTTGAAAGTTTTTTGAGGTGTTTTTATGTATTATTTATGTGTGTTTCTCTATTTTTCTGTCATTTTTGGGGTACTGACATAATATTCGGCCATTTTCAGGCAGTAACGATACGAAGTGAAGTTTTGTTCTATCACTCGTCACATTATTCTAAGGTCATCGATACATGTAAGAATTTTAAAGGTTATTTATACTATTTAGATGTGGTTATTGATTTTTTTTCTTGCATTTTTTAGCGTTTATGTAATATTCGGTTATTTTTGGACAGTTAAGAAAAGAAGGAAAGTTTTGTTCTGTTATTCGTCACAATATTCTAGGTTCATGGGTCAAGTCATAATTTTATTATGGTGTCTTTTTAATTGTTTATGTGTGTTTTTTTATTTTTTGGTCATTTTGGGGCATTTGCATAATACTTGGTCGTTTTTAGATAGTTACAAAAGCAGTAAAGTTTTGTTATGTTATCCATCATGGTATTCTTAGGTTATTGGTTCAAATAAAAAAATTTAGGGATTTTTTGTATTTTTGTGTATGTTTCTAGATTTTTGGGCATTTTGGAGCATTTACATGATTTCGGCCATTTTCAAGGAGTTACGAAAATAAGTTAAGTTGTTTCATGTTATTTTGTCACAATATTCTAACTTGATTGGTGCAAGTCAAAAAAATTTGAGGCATTTTTTGTATAGTTTGCCATTTTTGATGAATTTACGTAATAATCGACAATTTTTGAGTAGTTACGAAAAGAAGTAAAGTTTTGTTCCAGTATTTTTCATAATATCTAAGCTTTCGGTGCAAGTCAATAAAAAATTGAGGCAATTTTGTACATTTTATCTCCATTTCTTGATTTTTCATCCATTTTGACGCATTTACGTAATATTTAGACATTTTCTAATAGTTACAAAAAGAAGTGAAGTTTTGTTATGTTATTCGTCATGATATTTTAAGATCATTGGTGAAATTCAAATCTTTTTTGAGTCTTTTCTTGTACTGTTTGTGTGTTCCATTATTTTTTGGCTATTCTGGGCATTTACGTAATATCTAGCTTCGGGCGGTTACAAAAAGAAGTAATGTTTTTCCATGTTATTGTCACGATATTATAAGGTTATTGGTGCAAGTTGAATTTTTTTGAGGCGTTTTATACATTATGTATGTGTATTTCTTGATATATTCGGCTACTTTCTGGCAGTTACAAAAAGAAGTTTTTTTCTATTATTCATCATGATATTGTAAGGTCATCCGTGCAAGGCGTAGTTTTTTGAGGTATTTTTATGGTTTATGTTTGTTTCTTAATTTTTTGGCTATTTTAGGGCGTTTACATAATTTTCGTCCATTTTTGAGGAGTTATAAAAAGAAGTAAAAAACTTTCTGTTGTTCGTCACAATATTCTAAGGTTATTCGTGCAAGTCAAGAATCTAGCGAGGTGTTTTTGTAACGTTTATGTGTGTTTCTTTATTTTTCGATCATATTGAGGCATTTAGGTAATATTCGGTCATTTTCAAGCACTTACCAACAGATGTATGTTTTTTTAAGTTATATGAAAACGATATTCTAAAGACGTAGGTGCAAGTTGAAATTTTTGTGAGACTTTTTTTTTGTATTGTCAATGTGTGTTTTTTATTATTCGGCCATTTTAGGCATTGATATAATATTCAGCCAGTTACAAAAAGAAGTAAAGTTTCGTCCTGATATTCATCAAGATATTCTAAAGTCATTGATGCTTGTCTAATTTTTTTGGGGCGTTTTTATATTTTTACGTTTATTTATTGAAATTTCGGCTATTTTAGGGGCATCTATGCAATATTAGGCCATTTATGGGATTTACGAAAAGAAGTAAAGTTTTATTCTGTTATTCGTCTTTTTATTCTAAGATCATTGGTTCAAGCCATAAAACTTTTGGGGTGTTTTTTGTATTGTTTATGTGTGTGTTTTTTATTTTTTAGCGAGTTTGGGGGATTTACTTAATATTCTGCCATATTTGGACAGTTACGAATAATAAGCATGGAAATTGTAATAGGGCAATAGAGCCTATTCTTCTTCATTTTCTCCACAAGATAGGGATGCACCTAGAGGGGCCACACCCGATACTGGTAGAGGAATAAATCGCCTTTATGTTATAACCTGTCTCCAAGAGCAAGAGGATTCTCCAGATGTTGTCACTAGTATGATCCAAGTCTTTTACTTTAATGTATATGCTTTTCAAGATTTAAGAGAAATTTTATGGTCTGTAACTCTGTATGTTGCGATGAATTAAAATATTCTCCTGGAGAAACTTTGTGAACCCTTAAGAGTTTCTACACATGTTGGTCAATCTATTATATCAAAGGGAGTCTTTTGTGATAGCCATGTTTTCGTCAAACACAATATTCCATGATTGATTTTGTCTAGTTAGACATGTTAGATTTCAATATCATTCTTGGTATGGACTGACTTCATGCCTGTTATGCCGCAATTGATTGTAGGACTCGAGTTGTCAAGTTTCATCTTCCAAATGAGCCAGTCTTAGAGTGGAAAAGAGTTAAGTAATGACTAAGGGTCATTTTATTTCATACTTAAGGAGAGAAGTTAGTTTCTAAGGGATGAGATTGTCACTTAGTTCGACTAAATGACTCAAGTGTTAAGATACATCCTATTAAGTTAGTTTCAGTAGTAAAAGAGTTTCCAGAAATCTTTTTCAGATTATCTACCCAAGTCACTTCTGAGACAGGTAGACTTCGATATAAATATTCTTCCAGATTTTCATCCTATATCTATTCCATCATATAGTATTGTAGCAACAGAGTTTAAAGAGTAGTTGAAAGACCCCTAGAGAAAGGTTTTATTCGACCAAGTGTCTCATTTTCGGTCTCTCTAGTCTTATTTGTGAGAAAGAAGGATGGTTCCCTTAGTATGTGTATAGACTACTGTAAGTTTAACAATGTTACCATCATGAATAAGTATCCTCTTCGAAGGATTGATGATCTTTTTGATCAAATTCGGGGTGCCTTATGTTTCTCTATTATAGACCTAGATCAGTCTACCATCAGTTAAGATTGAGGGAATGTGATATTCCAAAGACAACATTCAATACCCGTTATGTTCATTATGAGTTTCTGGATATGACCTTTGGTTGGATTAATGCTCCTTCGACATTAATGGACCTTATAAATAGAGTATTCAAACCTTATTTAGATAAATTTGTTATCATATTCATTGATGACATACTAATCTATTCGAAGAATGCGGAAGCTCATTCTAGCCATCTCAAAACAACTCTTCAACTTTGAAAGATAAGGGGTTATACGCTAAGTTCTCTAAATGTGAGTTTTGGCTCAAGTTTGTGAAGTTCTTGGGCCACATCGTATTCGGTGATTGAATTAGAGTTAATACCCAAAAGAGAAAGGCAATGCAAAATTGGTATAGGCCCATATTTAACCAATATTAGGTGTTTCTTAGGTTTGGATGGATATTACATTTCTAACAGATATAAGGAGTTTCTTTGATTTGGCTAGCTACTATAGAAGGTTCGTAGAGGGTTTCTCATCCATTTCATCTCCATTGACCAAGTTAACTCATAAAATAGTGAATTTTCAATGATCTGAAGCTTTTGAGAAAAGCTTTCTTGAATTGAAAAAGAGATTGACTACTGCCCCAGTTTTGACCTTAACAGAAGGTACTCAAGGTTTTCTTGTGTATTCTTATGCATCTAGAGTTGGTTTTGGTTGTGTATTAATGGAAAATAGCAAAGTTAAAGCTTATGCCTCCAGAAAGTTGAAAGTTCCGGAGAAGATTTACCTACCCCATGACTTAGAGTTGGCTCCTATACTATTTGGTTTAAAGATATGGCGTTATTATTTGTATGGTTTTTATGTTGATGTATTCACTTATCACAAGAGACTTCAATATGTGTTTACTCAAAAGGAGCTAAATGTCAAAATGAGGTGGTTAGAACTACTCAAGGATTATGATAAAACTTCAGTATACTTATTCTTCTAGATACTCATCTTATATCTAGTCCTCCATAGAGGATGACACCAGCAGAGTTAAAAGAGTAGTTGAAAGACCTCTTAGAGAAAGGTTTTATTTGACTAATTGTCTCACCTTGAGGCACTCCGGTCTTATTTATGAGAAAGAAAGATGGTTCCCTTAGGATGTCTATAGATTATCGTTAGTTGAACAAGGTTACCATCAAGAATAATTATCCACTTCTTAGGATTGATGATCTTTTATCAACTTCAGGGTGCCTCCTGTTTCTCTAAGATAGACCTCAAATAAGGCTACCATCAGTTAAGAGTGAGGGAATGTGATATTCGAAATATATCATTTAAGAACCATTATGGTCATTATAAGTTTTTGGTTATGTCCTTTTGTTTGACCAATGCCCTGCAACATTCATGAACCTTATGAATAGATTATTCAAACGTATTTAGATATGTTTTTATCATATTCATTGATGACTAACTAATCTATTCTAGGAATGATGCAATCATGCTAGCCATCTCAGAACAGTTCTTCAAACTTTGTAAGATATGAGGTTATATGGAAAGTTCTATGAATGTGAGTTTTTTCTTGAGTTTGTGGCGTTATTAGGCCACATAGTTTCTGTTAATGGAAGTAGAGTTGATACCCAAAAGATATAGGTATTGAAGAATTGGCCTGAACCCACATCTCCAATTAATATTAGGAGTTTCTTGGGTATGCTTGGCTACTATAGAAGGTTCGTAGAGGGTTTCTCATCCATTTCATCTCCTTTGAACAAGTTGACTCCAAAAATATTTAAGTTTCCATGGTAAGAAGCTTGTGAGATAATCTTTCAGGTTTTGAAAAAGATGATGACTACGACCTAATTTTGACCTTACCAAAAGGTACTCAAGGTTTTGTGGTGTTTTATGATGAATCTAAGGTTGGTTTGGGTTGTGTCTTAATGTAGAATGACAAAGTTGGATCTTATACCTCCAGAAAATTAAAAGTACATGAGAAGAATTACCCTACTCATGACATAGAAATGGCTGCTGTAGTATTTGGTTTGAAGATATGCGACATTATTTGTATGGTATTCATGTTAATGTATACACTGATCACAAGAGCCTTCAATACGTGTTTACTAAAAAAGAGCCTAATCTCAGACAAGTGAGGTGATTATAACTACTCAAGGATAATGACATGAGTATTCTGTACCACCTAGGTGAGGCCAATGTTGTTGTTGATGCCTTGAGAAGGTTATCAAGGGGTAGAACCGCCCATGTTGAGTAGCAAAAAATGTGCATATAGTTGCACACATAGGAGTCCTAATAATGGATTCCACATAAGGAGGATCATTGGTGATGAATAGGGCTAAATCATCATTAGTGTCTGAAGTGAAAGAGAAGAAAGAACAAGATCCAATTTTGCTTTAATTGAAGGCAACTATTCATAAGCAAAAAGTATTACCTTCTGAACAAGGGGAATATGGCGTATTGATATGTCAAGGTAAATTGTGTGTACTAATGGTGGATTACTGCAAGAGAGGATCATGGAGGAAGCTCATAGCTCCAGATATTCCATACATTGGGGTTCCATAATGATGTATCATGACTTGAGAGAGGTGTATTGGTGAAATAGTATGAAGAATGGCATTGCAGAAGTTGTTGCTAAGTGTCCAAATTGCCAACAAGTTAAAGTAAAGCACCAAAGGATCGGTGATTTAACTCAGAATATGGAACTTTCGTAATGGAAGTGGGAGATAATTAATATTTATTTCATCATATGTTTACCAAGGTCTCGTAGACAACATGATTGTATTTGGGTGATTGTAGATTGCATGACCAAATCAACCCAATTTTTCGCGATAAAGACTACCCATACGGCAGAATATTTTGTTATGTTGTATCTTCAGGAAGTAGTTAGACTTCATGGGGTTTCGTTCTCCATTATTTCAGAAAGAGGTGCATAATTTTGGAAGTCATTCCTAAAAGTCTTAGGTTCAAAGGTGAACTTAAGTACTACCTTTCATCCTCAAGGAAATGGGAAAGCAAAGAGTACTACTCAATCCTGACTAGATTTGTTGAGGTTTTGTGTGATTGATTTTAAAGAGAATTTGGATGATCACCTACCTCTCATCGAGTTTGCTTACAACAATAGTTACCACTTTAGCATCTAATCTTGGACATATTTACATTACCATAATGCTATTTATGTCCACTTGGTAGCTTAGTTTTATGTTGTTAAGTCTACATTAAGAGTCTTAGTTAGTAAATTTCGTGTTTCCAAACTAACCAACATGGTTAGATGTGTAGGAAGACGAGGTGAAAAATATCTGCACCAAGAGGCGTTAAAATGAAGGAACAAGTAAATCTAAGGATAAAGCAAAGAAAACTGAAGCAATAAAAATGAGAAAAGTCATTTGCGTGCCAGTTCGCAAAACACAAAAAGGAGAGATATCTTGGGCTCAAATAACTTCTCTAAATAGAAGACTGCATGTAGTCTCCGCGTCGTGTAACTACGTGCCGAATCTCAGTAGAAAATATATCACATAGTAATGCACCTCGTGCCAGCCCCGCGTGGAGCGACTGAGATATCGACATTGGTGATTTGGAATTTAGTATAAATAGGCCTTAATGTAATTTTTCAATTTTTCTTTTTCCAATTTTCGAACAAGGGTCATCAAGAACGAGAACTTGATGTTTTTAGGGTTACTTTTTGTTTCTTCTTTTTTGGTAATTCTTTTGAATGATTTCAACAATTTTGAATACTGTTCTGAGGATCATGAGTACATAAATACCCTAACTCTAGGGTTGTGGCTACATGATGAATGAAGTTTTGATAATTTTTTAAGGGTTTATCAAGAGTTATCTATGATTCGTTCTTACTTTCTTTCTTGTTATGTTTCATGACTGGACACCAAAGAAATAAATCCATTGTCCAAATTAAACTCGAGGGAGGAATAAGAGGATAGAATATGGAAAGTAAGAAGTCTGGTTGACTCTAAATATCTAGGGTTGATTCAGTTCTAGGATAGAGATATACCTAGAGACCTTACTTGGATCATCATACAGGAAGATAACTTAATTTTCAAGTTTTACTCATCTTATCCTCGCTCAACGATGTATTTAATAGTGTAATTGTTATAGGCGATTAGAGGTAGAGAGACCATGATCATACATCTAACCCTGTGGTATAGCAATGAGATAACGTCTATAAATCTTTATTAGATGATATCAACTTCATAAGTTTTTATAAAAGCTATAGTAATGGATCTCGCTCATAATAATTGTTTATAAGTTAAGAAATTGAATCAATTTAGTCAATTTTAGTTAGATATAAATCTTAATACTATTATTTATAAAATCTAGATATTGAACATGTTTAAGTTAGATATCGGAAAAGTTAATTGAGTCTAGTTTGTAGTAACTTTGGGTACGATGCCCGACTCCTTAACAAGATCCATTATATTTGTTGTACGATCACTTGCACTTGCGTGTGCGATTTGACTGCAGTAAATTTTTGTCGTCGTGGACTGCAAGAATTAAAAGTCATACTATTTTTCTATTTCTAAAAGCTAATTACAGGTGTTGGTAACTTGATGTTATTTTTTCATTATTGTAGGTGTTTAGATACTCCAAAACTGGACTACGATTGTGACATGTTCTCACTGCTGTCAGATCCTAAAAGATTCATACATAGGAAACTGATTCAAGTAGAGCATTCAATTCCTCTACAGTTTTGGGAATCATCAAGTCCAGTTCACTAAACTGACGAATGAGAGTTGGACACTTGAAACAATGGCTACTACTAAAATAAGAGTTAGAGATGTGGCAATCCCACGACCCACTTATGTTACTTCTTGTATTAAAAAACTTGAGGTTGGTGTAAGATTTGTATTGAAACAAAGCATGGTGCAAATCTTGCACTTAAAGGGCAATTTACTTGTCTCTCTCATGAGGATACCACAGTTCACATTCAGAACATTCTAGAGATCAGTGACACAAGCTCAGGCTAATATAAGAAATAAGCATTTAGCTACCCAAATTTTGGAAAAGCAATTTGGGCAATTTTCTAGTGCCCAAAATTCTAGTCCACAAAGAGGGTTGCTTAGCGACACAAATCCAAATTCTAAACAGAACACTGCTGTGAGTACTCATACTGGACTACAATTGGAGGAATTATATCCAATGAAAAACGTTATCAAAGTGGTATGTAGAGATGATGAATCGACAGAGGTGAACCCCATAACAAGGAATAAGTCGCACCTGCGGAAAAAGTGCAACCAATAGTAA